CCCTGATTGTCCCTTTGATGTCATCATGTATGTCCAGAGATGCATTATATGGGGCAGTGTTGATATTTGGGGCATGAAGTCCTTTGGTATTTGGTTGGAAGTGGATGTTTTTAATGGGCGCTGTCATTGAAATACCTCAGTTTATTATTCCTCTGTAATCTAGATTCTCTGTAGTTGGGAAGTCTATAAGAGATGAAAGAGAAATCTTCCAAGATATTATGTATGCCATGTAAATGGTACTCATGTTCACTATAGATTTCCGATTCAATGTGCGTCCTGAAATTGAATGCAGTCCTAATTAGACCTGGGCAATAAAACTAAGTAAAAATGTATACCTCGATATTTGTATGATATTTTATGATCTAGTACAACTGCATTTTGGTTTTGAATGTTTTCAAGTATTTCAGGTCTCTCAATGTTTATAATAAATGTATTATTTTAAGTAGTATAAAATAATGGATTTGTTTGCTTAATAAAAGTAATAAACTTATTACATAATAAAAGAATACAAAATTAAATAATATAAAAAATATTAAGTAATAAAATGCATGTAGCCGCCTATTATTTAAATTTTAAAATAGATATTTTTTCTTGTATAAATGAAATAAATACTTTTTTTTGTTTTTTTGTTAATTCTCACAGAAAACCATATACTGCAATATTATGTGACATGCTTTTATTAATTTCTATAAAATATCTTCCTCCTCTTAAATATTGACATTGCTTTTTTAGTAGTTTCTGAAGAGGATGCTCCCTGAGATGCGTTTCCTCTGTGTTCATCATTGGGAAAAGCATCTCCTTTAATCAAGAGTAGCGCATTGAGTGCTTGATTCATCTCTATGGAAATAAATGACTCTTCTAAATGTCTTATTAAGATGAGCCACAGCTGTCTGCTAACCTGATGATCAGCTCAACCCATCGTCCCAGCTGCAATACTGGCCCCACTTGTAGAAAGTGAACACACACGTTATGTAGCTTTTATGTTTAGCTAAAAATATCAAGACGAAAGGAGAATACTGCTGCTCTTGTAGTGTAGGTCAGGTTGTGCCGAGAAAGATGGATTTAGAAAAGGACTCTGGACGACTTCTGCTCTTTGTGGTCTTTCGTTCATTCCATGGCTCGCATCTAGTATCACTCATTACTAGCAGCATCATTCACTTGAGGAGGTGCACCTCACACTAGAGCCCTGTTCTCACACACACTACTGCACCGGACATATGGGGACGTCGTGCATTCACAAATAAATAGGAATTAAATAGATTAATATAGAGCAGTAGGCGTAAACACTGTGTCTGTAACACTGGAAAACTCATCAATCATGAGACTCAATCCTGTGTCTGATAATCTTTCTTTCTTTGTCCAATTGAAAAAGAAAATGCTTATAAATACACGCACATATTTAAAGCTGCAATCGGTAACTTTTTTTGAGTTCAAAAATATATAATGAAATGAGCATCATAAATCCAATTTCCATACCGTGTTTTTGTTTTATCCTGAATCACTACGGTACACGGCTATTTTAGACTGGCTTGGGTCGTACCACTGCGGAGTAGCCCAGTATCTGCGTGACTCGTTATAGATATAAACAGAGAAATAACTATTATTATTATTATTATTTGATTTCTGATACATTAAAGATTTCAAAATAAGAGTTGATTTGTCACTTTCTGCACCATTGAAAGCACATGAAGAGATTCACAGCTATAGTTCCAGTCATTTCAATTGTGATTTAACTGAATAGATGTGTTTTATTCCCCGTTTCTGGTTTAGGAAGCTCAGACCACTTTATAAACATAATGATTTGAAGGTTACGCAACAGTTTGTTCAGTATCTGATCAAAACCGAAAGCAGAGCTCAAACTTTTAATGATCTGAAGGAAAACATTTTTTATTTTACACATTTGGCCTCTGTCAGATATCCAAGCAATGTTGCATTTAAAGATGTGTTTTCAAATGTACCAAGTGTGTGAACTGCACAAAAGTCTTTCCTTTCAAGTCCAGACACTAATAGGAAACTCTTGGTGTTCTTCATGGCAGCTATCTTGAAGCGTACAGTAAATAACTGTCATATTGTTTTGAATGTTCGGCTTGAAATGTTTTAATTGCAATCATCACAGTCTGATTTATTTTGATGGTTCAGTTCGTTACGGAGTTGCTTTGTGGTAATTGGCTTAGCAATGATTTGCTCAAGAGCCGTGACGACAAAGCAAATTAGCAGCTACTTCCAAAAGGCTGTAGCCTCCCTTCATTAAGTGCCATTGAATGACTAACAGTGGATGGCCTGTGCTTGTGGGTCCACAGCGTTTCATGGTCCTCCTGTCATCAGTGTCCTATTGGGGCCCTTGAAAAAGCAAAGAACACTGGCCAGTTTTGGGTTGGCAGGCTTCATACATGGTGCCACTCTCTGGGAGGAAATGACCTGTGCTTGTATGTGGCTTCCTGTGAGCGGGTCAGAGGACGCCAGCCTGCAGAGAGACAACATCTGCCACACTGACATTGTGCCAGCACTGCACCAGAGAGAGCTGCTACTGACAACTGCTCTTCCTTTCACACCAGACATTTACAAAGAACCTTATTGAGTTCTTTGCTTATTTGTAGATATGCACAATATGTCAACTTTTGGTTATCCATTTCATTTGAAAGTCTAAAAACTGTCCTAGGGCATTTTTCTAAACTTGTTTTGAAAAAAGAATAAAAGTACAATAATTTGGGAAATGAATTAAGAAAAAGATTTAAAAAGTGAAAAGTTATTTATTTTGCGCAAAGTACTCTAGTTAACATGAACTAAAAGATGGAACAATACAGCATTTATTAATCTAAAGGTTGGGTATGGGATTTGCAAAACGGTCGGCAGAATTTGAAAATACACAACTCAAAAGGTCCTAACTTCTTTCCTCCAACGCTGGCCCTGACTCCACCCATTCGAAGAACATGGACGCGCAATCATGCATCTGCAAAACTCTGATGCGCGAGATTGCACTTACTCTCTCTCTCTCTGTACTGGGGCGACTTGCATTTACTGTGACTGGGTCGCGAGCTTTGAGTATGCGCACGAAGGGGACACGCGCGCGAGGGGGATGGGGTACGACCGTTTGATTGACGCACTGACTGTCCAATGATTCTAGGTGGTCTTGGAAATGATTGGCTGGAGTTTTTCGAGTCCTGCCTGTTCCACAGATGATTAAATTGCTTAATTTTCATTTCAGTGCTTCTAACTCAGTGGCTGTAAGTGGGTTAGGAATAGGATATCAAGTGATTTTGAAAAAACGGTCAAAAAAGAAAATTACATACCCCACCTAATGTTAATTCCAACATTATGCATTATTCAAATCAAGTTGTTTTTTAACATTAGTTAATGCACTGTGAACTAACAATGAACGACTGTATTTTTATTATTCTATATTTTTGCATCCCTAGTAAACCGTGTATGATTATTTCTACAATTATTCTTGCACTGTTTCACTTGTACAAACAGTGTCTTACCATAATTAATGCAACACAGCAGTACGCATGTCACATGCAGCTGGTTTGTTATATTGGCTAACCACACACACACACTACTCGCTGTGATAATGCTACGCTGACCCTCACCGCACATGCTGACAGGACATTTGCTCATTGTTATGGCAGCAGTTTCCATGGCGCTGTCACTGCCAGTGAAGGAAACGTGATGAAATTGCCTGGATGTCTTCTCCTGTCCACAGCTACTCATTCTCTCAGAACAGCGACATCAACCACTGCGTACTTGGCATTCTGCTCCGCGTTACGAGGAATCTGTGACGTCGGTTCTGAGTCACTGGACTGGTATATAGACAATTTTACATCTTTAGGTTCTTCTTTATCAGTTTAATATAGGCTACTACTTTACATGGAGCCTTTAGTGGCAGAATGCTCGCTTTTGAAGGATCCCTCTTGACCTCGAGACCCTGCGCTGTATCATCCCTGTCAGTTTGGCCAACTGCAGTTGGCAAGTGTGTCTTTAGTGAAAGCGTGTTTCTGAGACGGGACGCCTGCTATTCTGCCTCACCCTGGCTGGACAGCTGTGTGTGACAGACTCACGCTTCTTTCTTCAGCTGTCCCAACTTGCTGCCGCCTCACATTTCACGCTGCTTGTGTCAAGGTGAAAATGACTTCAAAAGATGACACACGTTCAGCTGCTGCTGTGATGGTGTGCAATGAACCGAGTTGTTTTTCTTGGCCCGTGTCATTATGTCCATTTGGAATTGAAAACAAAGTGCAAAATATGATTAATAATTGACTTGTATCAGCAATATAGGGTCTGGAAGGTGAGCTGTAGTACAGCAGTTATTTTTGACGATTAATTCATCAAAATAAATCTTACAATAAAATGTAAATATTATATGAAAAAAAAAAATAGAAATGTTGCCTTGGTAACTAAAATAAAATAGGTTTAAGTTGAAATTAAACGGAAATGAAAAAAAAAGACAAAAGCACAACATAATTACTAAACTTAAATTGAAATAAACTGAAAATATAAAAACTAATGCTAATTTAGAATACAACATGTATATAAATAATACTAAAATAAATAACACAACTGTAGTATAATTTTCAATTAAATGTGTTAACTGGATCATTTTAATCCTGGTAAATGAATCAACACAGAGTGGACAAAATAATCTATGATATTATTGCATTATTATAATATTGATTTTAAATATTGAATTAAATCAATTATTAATATTAATTTATTTGTAATACTATTTGGTAAGATTCATATAAATGTACTGTCAAATATTAATAATATTTGATAGTAAATATTATAACACTTTGAGAATTTTGAGTTTGTTGATCATTTAATAGTGTTATTAGTAATAAAAAAAACGTTCACCAACACATCAATAATTTTACCAAAATAAAGAATTCATTCCAAGCTTCCTGAAAGTGTTGAAACAAAACCAGTACAACAGCTGGTGACTCACTTAACATACTCAGGTTGGTATACTGTATAAACATAGTTCGCATGTTTATCTGTTTTAGGGGACTCCTTCACACAGTTCAGGTTCTCTGATGAGAAGGACTGGGACATGGACTCACTGGCAAAAAATCAGGTGCATAATCAGTCATTTCTCAAGTCACTTAATATTAAGATTTGCTGTGCAATTATTGCGTTTTTTGAGGATACATCTTCCTATGGTTGATTGTGACTTCTCCAGATTCCAGCTCTTTTTATTGACCTGCCAGCTTTAACTCAGTCACTTCAAGAGCTTCCACTGCACACCAGACTGAACCTGGAGGCTGAGCTTGTTCAGGTAGATCCATTGCTTTTTCTGCTGAAATACTTTGAAATGCTACTAGTAAAGTATGATGTAGTTGAGCTTTAATATGCTTCAGGTGACGACTCCTGTTGAACTGCCGCCCGTGACAGTCCCTCACAGAACCGACTCGACACCGACAGCTCCTCAGGCAGGCCGAGAGTCAGGCCTGGGCATTTCCTGCAGTGTAAAGCCTGTTTCAAGTACCACAGCGTCACTCTGTGTCTCCACAGCCGTCCCTGCGGCCACTGATGATGCTGACCAGGAGCTCGACCTTCTCCTCAGCTTGCAGAGACCCGTCACAGAACTTTCTTCAGTACAATCCCATGCTACAGATGATGCGCTGAACACCCCAATACAAGGTATCCAAATCAATTGGTATATCTTGGTTCTTTTTTGTTCAAATCAATTGGTGTATCTTGGTTCTTTTTTGCTAAACAGTGTTGGAGAGTATTATAACTAACTAAAAATAGCAACTTTCAGTGACAAATTAACTAAGTAGCGTAGTGTTTGGGAATTAATTCATTTTAGTGAGACAGTTCATGTAACATTCTCAGTTCAAGCTGAATTTTGCCAAATTATTTTAATCCCAGTTGTTGTTGTTTTTTTAGCTAAATATGTTCTTTTTCACTTTATAAATAAAGTCAGTAAGATTTTTGTGGAAGAAAATATTACTTTTATTCATTGCAATGACACATTGCATTGATCAAAAGTGACAGTAAAGTGTTGCAAAAAAAATCTATTTCAAATAAATGCTGTTCTTTTCAACTTTCTAATCAAAGAATCCTAAAAACTAAAATCAAAGTATGGTTTCCACAAAAACTGTTTTCAACATTAATAACTGGAGACTGAAGTAATAGCTGCTGAAAATGCAGCTTTACCATCGCAAGAACAAATGACCTTTTAAAATATATTCAAATACAAAACAGTACTGCACTTTTTGTTTTTACTGTAATTTGATCAATGAAATGCAGTCTTGCAATTTTTTTTAACATTAGCATATATAACATAGTTTGTTTTTTTTGGTAAAATTCTACCTGAATTCTATTGCAGAATGAAAATATCCTCTGATACACATATAATCCTTAAATACTTATCTTGAGTTTCGATTCTGTTGAACTACTTTATGTGCTTCAATCTTCTAGCTTTGCAAGTTATAGATTCAAAGTAGCTTCCTGAACATGGTGTAAAAATGTGATTTTATCACCTCAACAGGTTCAGAGGAAGAAGATCAAACCGTTGTTATGAAAGAGACAAAGCCAGAAGTGCAGAGTGAACCTGAACCCACGAGGCAGGAAGTGACAGAAGAGGATCTGGAGGACTGGTTGGACAGCATGATCTCCTGACCTGAGAGAAGCACTTTCTCCCTGCTGACTGACACGGCTGTGGATTAGATCAGCACATGCAGCTTTAGTAATGCTGACAGCGTTACTTCTGTGTGGACGTCTACATCATACTCGGACACTTCATGAAGTCTTATAATAACCAAGGCTAATTCAGTCGTGTGGAATATAAATGCTCCATCAATATAGAACTCCTAAAAATGCTGATGTAATGCCATGTAACAGTTTTCTCACTCCTCGATTGACTCAGATTTCATTCAGATTAAATGCAGCTATGGCCAGCTGGGATTTATTGCATCAGCTACTTTATTTTCGTTCCCCCTGCTCAAAACAAATGCAAATCACCAAAGCCACTACATACATACAAATGGCCATACAATAGCAGTTTACAGTATTGACAGTTCAATACATTTGTTAATAATTTTTGTCCTTGAATATAGATTTCCATTGTTTTGCAGTCGTACTTCATAAATGATCAGGCAAACACGATTTCAGTTATTGAACCTTAACCAAACATTTTTTAAAAAAAACAGTGATTATCTTTACTTATGAACCATCAACTAAAGCTACAAAACTACTAACCCAAGTGAGACTGTCAGTGAGAGTCTAAACTAAAATGCAAACTAGCAAATCATACGAGCGGGAACCAAATGTTTGCATAGTCTCTTGTCATAAGGCACTTTGCTGTATGAGAAACATCTAGTGGACTGAAGCAGATGATCTTTATATGTCTCATTCCACCAGTCAGATTACCGTCTTTAAAGGCATTGCACATTCTTCATAGTATTTTTTGTTGTTGTTTGTTTTTAAATCAAACAGGCATAAATTGTGTTTGGCACTCAGAAGGTATTCTTGTGCATATTTGTGTAGACGTTCATTCAACACATCAAAAACATATATATGGTAACATCTCATCTCACAACTTTTTTTTCAAACATGGCTTGTGTCTTAATTTGGCAATGTGTGCTACATGTTTTTTTTTTTTTTTGTCTTTTTTCTCTCAATGTTGTACTTGAGTTCACATTTTTGGCTTGATCACAATGAGTTCTCGGTATGTCACTGTCATTTCTGGTGGAGAAACGGCTGAGGTTTTTTTTGTTTGTATGAATCGGTGAGCAGCATTTGATGAGAGCTAGTTTAGGATGTTGTGTCCAACCTACATAAGATCCTAAAATCCATTTATATTAGGAGCTCATGTAGGTTGAAGCATGTGATTTCTCTCATGTTTGGACTGAGGACAACAGTATGTCCTCTAGCCCAGCAGGTCCTCGTATTGCTTCCGGAAACAGTCTCCAGCAGGGAAGAAATCCCAGCACCTCTCCTGATACATCTTCCAAACATACGACTCCTGTAGTAAAAGGATAGAGAAGTAATGTGATGATATAATTTATGAAATATAATATACACTACCGTTCAAATGTTTGGGGTCAGTAAAAACATACTTTTTATTAAACACGATAATAATGTTTAAAAAAAAATATTTCATATAAATGCAGAACTTGGCTATTCTATTCATCAAAAGTCTTGAAAAAAAATGTATAACGGTTACCACAAAAATTTGAAGCAGCACAACTGGTTTCAACACTGACAATAAGAAATGTTTATTGAGCAGCAAATCAGCACACTAGAATGATTTCTGAAGGATCATGTGACATTGAATTTTCAGCATCATTACTCCAGTCTTCAGTTTTGTATCACATGAATAAATTAGTTTTAAAATATATTCAAATACAAAACAGTTATTTTACTAGTTTTTATTTTATTTTTATTCTATTTTTTAAATAATCGCTAGGACACATTTTTCTATATTTGGGTCACTTTTCCAAAACTCTTCACACAGTTCTTCCAACCAACTTTCAACTTGGGACAGCAGTAGATTTCACATTCAAAATTCACTGAAACTACCAAAACACTTCAGTCATGTCTCAATTCAATTCATTCTCCCATAACATTAGCAAAGTTTGTCAACAAGAAATTGTAAAAAGAAATTACAAAACATGAAATGACATTCTACCATTTATAATTCACTACAGTATTTTACATGGTCCATGTTTAAATTTCAGTACAAATAATTCCTAGTTTCCTCCTTTTGTACAGATGGAAATTAATTTGAAAGACTAACACCTGTGTAGCTGTTCAGCAACATCTAATTGTTTTGATAGTATTTGATTTTTCAGAATCAGAATATATTTCAGTTTGGTGTAGCAAATTACTGTCTTTTTCAGTTTTGAAACTGAACTAAAGTTGAACAGTTTTGAAAAGAGCATGTAAACGTGTGCAATAGTTTATGAGAAAAGAACTGATGTAATTCGAAAGATGTAGTCGTTGAATGCATTTTGTGCCAAAGTAATGATAAATAATCCAAAATTTAGCCTATATTGACAGCTGCTGTGATCACTGTGTGAAGAGTTTTGCCCAAGTATTGAGATATGTGTCCTATAAATTGTAATAATATTTCACAATATTGCCTTGGTGAGCATAATACTTCTTACAAAAACAAAAATCTTACCAATCCTAAAACCTTTGAACAGTTACATGATTTTATATTCAATTAATTGAAATTAGATTAGTAGATTACCTGACCAGTGTATTCAGTCTCATCTTTGTTGATAAGGTACATCAGGAAGAATCTGTTAAATAGGAATATTTAAATTTTTAGATGTGTTGACTGTTTAAAAAGGAAGCATTCTAACTATAAAAAGGTTGTCATCAGATGGCATATTGTATGTTCATGTTAGTTGTAGTACGTCATATAGATGATTTACTCACAAATAGTTGGCCAGATTGTGCTCTTGTAAAGTATGGGTCTCAAAACCATGCGGGGTTCTGTCAAAGTAGTCATTCCCGATTCCACAGATGAAGCATTTTGTCTAGACCGAAGACAAAACGTTAAAACAGGAACAAAAACTGTGCTCTTTTTAGACTTCACAGGAGGACGTGTGACATCACTCACCTCCATGTCCTCTTTCACCTGCTCCTGCTGGTCTCTCAACTCGCCGAAGGCATCGATGATCAAACCTGGTTTGAAAAATGAAAGCATTCACTATTATGTTGATGTTCTGAAGATACAAATATTGAGTGTGAGGTTATGATCGGTTGGCTAGTGCTATTCACGAGCAGTGTTAATATAAAGAGTTTAATGGAGCATGTAAATCAGTGCAGTGCAGCAGTACCCTGAATGATGGCCAGCAGAATGACGATGACAAAGAAGAAGAAGGTGATGTCAAACAGAATGCGGTAGAGCTCGTAGGGGTCACCGGCCGGGTCCACGATTTCATCACCGATGCCACCGCCAGCCCTCACACCCACGTACATGTGGAACAGGTAGCACTGAGGATTCATGGGATTTGTTTTAGTTATTAATGATCTAGCAAAGCAGTTTGGGCATATACACACACACACACTTCTGTTTGTAAGATTTTTTTCACCAAGGCTGCATTTATTTGATCAAAACTACAGTAAAAAACGTTAAATATTATCACAATTTGAAAAATAACTTTTCTATTTGAATATATTTTAAAATGTAATTTATTCCTGTGATGTCAAAGCTGAATTTCCAGCATCATTACTCCAGTCTTCAGTGTCACATGATCCTTCAGAAATCACTCTAATATGCTGATTTGATGCTCAAGAAACATTTCTTAATATTATCAATGTTGAAAACAGATTTTCTGGATTCCTTGATGAATAGAAAGTTCAAAAGAACAGCGTTTAGTTAAAATAGAATTCTTTCTTTCAATAAATGTCTTTATTGACTTTTTATCAATTGAATGCAAACTTTTGAATAGTGGAGTACAATCTTTAAATATAAAAATGTAAAAATCAAGCTTTAAAGGCACTCTCAATAATAGAAATTCCCATTTCTTTTTAAAATTGAATAGTAGGGAGCCCCTAAAGGGACACAGTGATGGAAAAAAAATATGAGATGGGAGGAAAAATTATATGTCAATGCTTTTGCGTTCTCTCACAATTGTTTTGTGTTCCCCTGCAAAATGTTTGCATTTCCCCAAGAAACTCCAAGTTCGCTTGCAAAACATTTGAGTTCTTTGCAGGCAAAGCAAAGTTTCTCGGGGGAACACAACAGTTTTGCGAGCAGATGCAAATGTTTTGAAATATATTTATTCCTCCACCATGTTCCATTAGGGGCTCCATAGAATATTACTTTTGAGAAAAAAAAAAAAAGGATGATGAAAACAAATCGAGCTAATATCAGAAGCATTAGGTCACATGACCATTTGATATTTATATATATATATATAATAAATGATTAATTCCTGACTATAGACTGCATTTCTGCATTAATGTCTGAAACATGACCAAGATGACTTCCAGATCAGACTGAATCCACATTCAAGCCCAGAAAACCTTTCAAAACGAAAACATGAACTCACAGTCATCATATCATCACACTTCATGTCAGGTGCGTCCTCATCCTCGCTCTTGTTGTAGAACTTGCGGAAGAAGTTAAAAGCCACTACAGTGTACAGGTAGACCACGACAGCCAGGAGGCCCACGGTCAACACCAGCTGTTCAAATCAAGAAGGTGTTTTCATCAGATTTGAAGTATTTTGGTGGTAAAGCTGTACTGTCTGCAGTCACCCCCTGCTGGATGACACTTGCCTGTTTGCCATTGTGAGTCACAGAAGAGAGGATGGTCCTCAAGGTCTTAAAGCCCATCGCAATGTCCAGCAAATGAGCAGCAAAGAAGAAGTTATTGTAATGCCCCAGAATCGACATGGTGGTGTACCAGATCAGGTAGAGGTAAGACTAGAGATGAAAGACAAAACATTATTATCCTGGAATAGGATAATCTTCCTAACATTCTCAAATCTGAACCGTACTCACGTTGTCCGTCATCACCACCCCCATTTTCCAGATGTGGTACTTGGTATCAATTGAGCTCAACCTGCAATTGAAACCAAAACATGACTGAATACTTTAATGCTCCTTAAAACCAAATGTTTGTGGGTCCTGTCAGCTCACCAGGACAGCAGGGAGGCTTCCTTCACCACGGCCTCTTCAGTGGGATCAAAGTCCAGAGCACTCTTATCCAGACCCAGGAGTTCAGCTATGCGCTCGGCCCCGTACAAGTCCCCGTATTTATTGATGACCTAAAGAAGACAGTGGAAATTGTTGAATACAAGCACCGTAAATGAGTAACATCACAAGTTTATTGTGATTCTGCTTACCTTCCTCTTAACAAA